GCGCTCCCCACTACCCCGGTATAAAACCAGAGGCATCTGCCGAGGGTAGCCACTCTCCACATCCTACCAACTCCACAACTCTCTCAAGGTAAATATCGCTGCTGTAGTTTACTAATTGAGCTTGTAGTGTAAAAATAACAGCATAGGTCCTCTTTACTATCATAGTTCCCATAGTTTTTAGGGATCAACCGGGGATCAAACCAGCAACCTCCAGATTTAAAAGCAAACACTATAACCACTCGACTATCCATACAATATTATTACGACAATATTATATGGTTTTAGATGGATCTTTCTACAAAGCTGTCGTCTTGCGAGGTGCTCTCTTCCCCTTTGAAAGTCCCCATCAAAGATCTGACCGAGCCGGCGAAAATTCAATCTGCTAGACGAATCAACACGAGATTCGGAACCATGGTGATCGTACTACACGTCACCACATCTGCCGGCGAGGAGAGGGTGACATTTTTACCCTCGAGGTTCACCAGCCTCCTCACAGACGAAGATCTAGAATGTTTCACAAACTCTAAATTGTATAGTGTTAAATGTACGGGGATGGTGGGGAATTCCCCAAATGTGCTTATTTATAAACATTAGTTTTTAGCATGTTGTTCAGTAGTAGTAGTGCTCAGTAGTTTTTAACACTTCACTCAATTCTTTATAAATTAGTAATGTGTCTTGCTTGTAGAATAAATATTTGTAACATTATAACTGCGTTTTCAATTCCAAGTGCACCCTCAAAATAAGGGAGGGGGGTATTATATGGTATAATACTAAGCCAGTTCCTCTGGATACAAGTACAATACGATATAATACCTGAACCTGGGGGTGTCCTTCAGACACTCGGACAGTCCCAAACCCTGTCCTAAAGGGTGCACAACAAGTTTTCTATATACTATTTGCTAGGGACATGAAGTTTTTTTCGTTTGGCGAGAAGGTGAGGTTTTTTTTGTTTGGCGGGAAAATAAAAGTGAGGTTATGTAACTTGGCGGGAACCTACGCAATACGTTGTTTGGCGGGAATCGGCGGAGAAGAAGTAAGGTTTTTTTCGTTTAGCGCGAAAGTCACTTGGCGGGAAGGTGATTTTTTCGTTTGGCGCGAAAGTGAGGTTATATTACTTGGCAGGAAGGTGATTTTTTCGTCTGGCGCGAAAATAAATGTGAGGTTATGTTACTTGGCGGGAAGGAGAAGTTTTTTCGTTTAGCACGAAAGTGAGGTTATGTTTCTTGGCGGGAAGGTGAAGTTTTTTTCGTTTGGCGGGAACCTACGTATGCAATACGTAAAGTGAGGTTAGATGTTTGGCGCGAAAACAAAAGTGAGATTAGACCACGTGGGACACCAGAGGGCGACCACGTGGGACAAAAGGGGGCATGGCCTAGGGGGAAGGGTGGGGATGAAATGCTGCTCTCTGATTGGTGGCCGCAAGAGCTGCTTTTCCTACTCTTGTACTCTCCTAAAGGCCTGCATTGGTTTGTAAACGTAGAAAATAAGGGCGTGGTATCCCGCGGGTGTATTGGTATTGGTCTTATTGTGTGGAGTACCTACTCAAGTTGCCGCCGGCGATAGGCATTGTTGAACTCCCTGCGGAAGTTACAATTGTCAATCAAAAGCAGCGAATTGAAGCTGGTATTGTGCTGCTAAAGATCGTCTACTCGTCTAACGATGCCAATAGAGCTGCTAGCTCACTTGGGACATGAGTTGGTGGTAACTTATAAACATTCGATCATCATTTTTTATCTTTTTGGTTCGTAGTTAAACTTGCAAGACACTCTCTACAGAACAAAAAAATAGTTTATTAGATAACTTACTAAAAGTAAGTTTTTCTTACATTTTAACCAAGGGACCATCATGACGTAGTTTACATTCATTTAAATTATTAGACTTTGATCCAAACTTAGATGTAAATTGTTCTACTGTTCTTAGAAATATTAACCTAGTAACATTTTTTTATTCATATGTGTATTGAAGAGAACCTTCGACCATATCTACTACTCTTTGATGGTCTTTCAGCCATTTTGCTATTATTGTTTCTGATTGTTTTGGGTTGAACATTGAATATTTTCAATTTTAAGAAATGATTGTTTAGCTTCTGTACCTTCTTAAATATATTGTAGAAAATGTAATACATTTTTTTCATCAATGACCACATGTTTCAAAGATCCTGTAAAGACTAATAAATGAAGATCTCTCAACCTGAAAACCTAATCAATATTCATTTAAAAAACGTATCAACAACTTCCATCAATTCCTGTAACCAAAATTAATTAATGAATGCTTTTAGGTTGTCAACCCAACCACAAATTACTTTCTCAGACGTCTACACGATGAGAGGCTATTTAATCAGCTGCAGGAAGGGTGTTTTTACATCATTCAAGCAATTAGCCTAACAGCTTGGTTACCCGAACACCTGTGGTCAGGTGATATGTGGAGGCAAAAACCCTTACAACCCCCAAACCCAAACCTTCCAAAAACCGTTGGTAACTTTGCTGTTGTTTTAAAATTATACTGCCAATTCACATACATAGGTTACAATAAGATATAAAAATAAGAAATAAATTTCGTGATTTACTCTTTGGGTCATGTTTATGTCATATTCACTCAAAGTTTTATAAAACTGTAGTAACATAAAACTGTTACTATTAAATATTGATAAGACACTTTGTTTTGGACATTTTCTTATCAAGTTGTAATTTTTTTATGGTTTTCTTTCAATGAAAAATATTGTTAAAAAACGTCACATTTGTCATAGTTTAAACTATGTTTTTTTTATTTTCCACGCGCTTATATACAAAAATATTCCCGTTCTATCAAGCAAAAACAGTATACAAAAAACATTTTTACAGCTATAATTATATTTCATACTTGTTAGTTACTTTTGCTTTTTGTCATCACATTTTTGTAACTTCTCAACTTAATAATCCTCTGATCTTAGTAATGGAAATGTTAATAATAAAATATTTGGTAGATAGCAATATTGGATTTTTCTTTGTTTGAAGTTCATTGTTGGTGATGGTGAGTTAATGTTGTTCAAAGGTTTATTGCGGACATTTTGATTTTGATTTTGATTGGATTTTTATGTGAATCCTGCTTTATGGCAAATTAATTCCGACGGTAAAACTTTGTTGTCAATGCTTTTGCAAAGATTTAAACCACCTCGTCGTCCCCTTTTTAAATACGCTCCCTTCCGACAATTTCTTGAATTCCTACAATGCCATTTACATACTGAAAGGTACGATTCGAAATAACTCTCGAAACGTTACGAAGCGATTTAAACGTCACCTGCGGTTTCTTTGCGAGTTGACGATTTGACTTGTAAATCTAGTGCCGAGGGACTCCCTATACTCCTGTGGGGAGCGGTTAGGGGCGCTTTTTGGGGGAGGTAATGTATGAAATGCTCAGTCCCTTAGCTTAAGTCAACAGTTGCCGTTGAGAGGACCAAATTGATTGAGGGATTGCTATTGTCCCCGCCCCAAGTCTCAAGTCAGTTTTCCCCCAGAATCTACCGTTTTCCACGTGCGGTGTTTTGAGCACGTGAGTGGAAAATGTACAACATATTCTATTAGCTTCAATTTTCAGTTTGTTTTCAGATAGATACATTTGTTCCGACAATATTTACAACACAACAAACAACAACAATATTTTAGTTGTAGTTGTACTGACGTTTTCCAGTTATGTAACCCTGCATTTTGTAAAAAGATATTCTTGATTTCTGAACAATTATTATGTGTTATAGTTATTCTATTGTATTACTGTTAATTTCAAACAATGTTAGCTTTTATATTTAAGTTAATTTACCTTAAAAATAGCAAAAACCACAAAACAATTCAGGTTATTTTTGCATACTAGCCTACTACGTGATTATGTTTTGTTACATTGAATTGTTAATACTTTACACCCGAGTTTTATAGTTCCTCTTATTTGAAATATTGCTTAACACTTTATAATAAATATTTTTGTACTGGTCAGCTTTACAATTAATTAATATCCATTATTTCAAACCGGCTAAATTATGTTATTTACGTAATCTTTGCAAAGATCTTCCTCCAAAAATTTGGGTTTTTACTATTCGTGATGAAAAATATCCGCAAAAGATACTTACACAATTAACATAAATTACCGTCATCAAAAGTGCACTTCAAAACGAAGAGCTGATTAACTATTTTGTAATTTTTGGTAAAATAGCGTTTAATCAATTCTAAAAATCTGGCAATTTCCGGAGGGTTATCTTAAAACAATTATATAATCGTTGCAAACGGAATTTATTGTGCAATCGACGCCGTGTCTCTTATGTTAGCAATACCAGCAAAACTCTTAAACAGGTGATTTGCATGACAATCATTGTTTGGTATAATAAGAAAAATATGTACATAGAATGAAATTAATCAGTCTTAATTAGGCTAATTTTTAAAGTGCTAAACAATGTTGAATTGCTGTCACAGACCTTAGTGAAGCTGAAGAGATGTTTGGTTTGGGGTACCCCACCTGACTTGAAGCACTGGGCAATGGCGGCGTCGACGAGGACTGTCCATGTACACGTTGACCTACTTGCACTATTACAATTGTCCGTTAAATAAACAAAAAATAATTTCTACTTGGGATAAAAACAAAACTATTGTCACTTCTATTAGCACTGTACAGACTGATTAATTTAAAGAAAAAAAAGGTAAAAATTGCGGGATGTTGAAAAGATGATGCGGATATACGATAGTAAATATGGTGATAGTTCAGCGGCGGACGACAGTGGACTGCGTCGTTTGGAAAGATATCAGTGTTGAGGGCAAAGGCTGCATACCTTCGTTAGCGGCTGAATAGCGGAAAATTACTTGGGCTAGGTTTTGTTTGAAACGGAAGAATATAAATATGGACTCGATTTAAAAATCATGAAACCTAAAATATCCAACATATCGCCCCCCTTGAACCAACCTGGTTCAATGAAAAAACTGAAAAATGGGAAAAGACAAATGAAAATAAATTGAAAGGGGGTGAAAGGGAATGCTTAGGAATTAATTGGTAGGAAGAAGGGAAACTTTGACGGTTGGCCGACTGAAGTTCCCTGTAGCGGTGCGTAGATGGACCACTCGTACAATTCCGTCTGCTCCTGGAGATACTGCGGTGATTCTTGCAAGTTTCCATTGTAGGGGAGGAGTGTTAGGCTCATGAATAACAACAAGGTCACCAATCTTGAGGTTCTCTGTTTTACTCGTCCACTTAGAGTGATGCTGTAGAGTATGCAGATACTCTTGGGACCATCGAGTCCAGATGTGTTGAGAGAATGCCTGAACTAATTGCCATCTCCTCAAGCGGTTACAAGAAGTTTCATCATATTGAGGTTCAACCATGGATTTCAGAGGTCCACCAGTTAAAAAGTGTCCTGGGGTTAGAGACTCTAAGTCATTCGGATCTCCAGAGAGAGGGGTAAGCGGTCTTGAATTTAATATTGCTTCGACACGTGACACGAGAGTTATGAATTCTTCATAAGTCAGGATTTGGCCACCGATTACTCTATGAAGGTGATGCTTAAAACTCCTAACAGCTCGTTCCCACAAGCCACCTTGATGAGGCGCGTGTGGAGGCAGAAATTTGAAAGAAATGTTGTTTTCTTCAGCAAAACGGTGAGTTACTGGATTGCAAAGGAGGTTGTTAAAACATTTGTGAAGTGCAGCAGCTGCTCCGACAAAGTTGGTTCCACAATCACTATGAATTTCCTTCACTGAACCACGTCTGGAAATAAAACGTGTAAGAGCTGCTATATAAGCTTTTGAGGACAAATCCGACACAACTTCTAAGTGTACGGCTTTCGTTGCAAAGCAGACAAATAGACAAAGATAAACTTTAATAGGCTGAAGCCTTTTTAGGACATACAATTTCACTGTAAATGGTCCGGCATAGTCGACTCCAGTAACATTAAAAGGTCGGGTTGCTACCACTCTTGGGGAAGGTAAGTCTCCCATCAATGGTGTGTTTGGCTTAGGTTTCATTCTGAAACATCTCAGGCGTTTAAAAATCCTGGAGCGTATGATACTACGAGCAGAAAGTATCCAATATTTCTCACGAAGAACAGCTTGGAGTTGTGTTGGTCCACAGTGAAGAAAGATGCGATGATGATAATCAATTATCAAATTTACAACAAAATGATCCTTTGGTAAGATAATTTGATGCTTGGCGCTGTACGGCAACTCAGAATGTTTCAGTCGTCCTCCAACTCTTAACAAACCTTCATCATCCATAAACGGTGAAAGGCGTTGAATGCGAGAAGAACACACATTCTTCTTTGACAGGGAATTAATATCCTCAGAGAAACTCTCTCTTTGAACAAGCCAACAAATCCGTTTGTTCGATACTTCTAACTCTTCAAGTGTGAGAGAATGAGTAATCCTTTGCTTAGTTTTCAAGCAGGAAATAAAACGTAAAACGTAGCCCATGACATGAAGTAGTTTAGTCCATGAAGAGAATTTATTGATAAACTTCAGATCTTGATCTTCAGCTATCGTAAGAAGATTTAGTGTTGTGGTTTTAATTTCTGGGAGTTCCTCTTCGGGAAGATGACTCGATGGTTGAGGCCATGAATCAGATGAACTCTTAAGCCATGTGGGTCCAGACCACCAGAGCTTGTTATGAATAAGAAGAGATGGGGTTAATCCTCTAGAGGCAACATCAGCGGGGTTTTCAAGAGTAGAAATGTGTTTCCATATGCAGGAAGGGGTCAATTCTTGAATCTGTGCAACACGATTTGCAACATATAACTTCAAACGATGAGAAGGGGTGTGAATCCATGAAAGAGCCACAGTGGAGTCACTCCAAGCGGTAACAGAATCTATCTTGTAGCGATCTGAGAGTTGATCAACACAGTAGTGTAACAGTTTGGCTAAAATATGTGCTCCGCACAGTTCAAGGCGAGGAATCGTGATACGTTTCAGGGGTGCCACACGTGACTTGGCTATTAATAAGTTGACATATATACTGCCTTGCGGGTTCTCAGTTCGTAGATAAACACATCCAGCAAAACCGAGTTCACTTGCATCTGAAAATCCATGCAACTGAATATTAACCGCATCACTCAGAGATATGTACCTGCCAATCTCCAAATTTTCAATCTCAGGAAGTTCGTTGACAAAAGTTGACCATCTGTCGATAATATCACTAGGAAGAGTATTATCCCAATCTAGGCCTAGTGACCATATATGCTGCATGAGAGCCTTAGCCCAAAAAATAACAGGGGTAAGCATGCCTGTTACATCTTGTTGTTGTCTTGTTGTTGGAGCATCTTGTCCATCTTAGCGATGGAAGACAAAATTGCTCTTTTGGTAAAAATCAATGGAGCTTCAGAAATTGCATATGAGAATGTGTCTGAGTGTGGATTCCACTTCAGTCCAAGAATACTAACACAAGGTGAGTCAGTTGATAAGCAGTGTTGAGGGGGTAAATTTTCCAATATTTGGCTATTGTTAGACGCCCATTTGCGAAGTTCAAAGCCTCCTTTTCGTAAAAGGTTTATTACATCTTGCTGTAATTTTGCAGCTTCTTCAACAGTATCGCTGCCTAGTAGCGCATCGTCTACGTAAATTTGTCGTTTAAGTGCATGAGCAGCAAGTTCATGATTCTTTCCTTCATCATGAATTAATTGTTGTATTACTCGATTAGCCAAAAATGGCGAAGAAGTCATACCATAAGTAACGGTTGTCAACTGAAAAACTCGAAGCGGCTGTGACATTTCTTCTCTCCAATAGATGAGTTGAAAACGTTGGTCTTGTTCATGAATAGAGATCATACGGAACATCTGTTTGATATCACAAGCAAAGGCGATCCTATTTTGACGAAAACGTAGAATTATGTCTGTTATTTAATTATGTAACTTGGGTCCTTGATGCTGTAGACTGTTAAGTGTTACACCAGTTGAAGTTTGAGAGGACGCATTAAATACAACACGTATCTTTCCATCCTTAAAGACACCGTGGTGTGGTAAGAAGCAATGATATTGGTTATTTAGATCAAATAAGTTTGAGGGTTTCATTTAACCAGAGGATTCGTAGTCATTCATAAATTCAATGTACTTTTCTTTGAAATCAGGTTGCGATTGAAACTTACGTTCAAGCGATTTGAAGTTTGTAAAGCAACTGTAGAAGAATTTCCTAGTTTTACTGGATTTTCTTTGAACGGTAAACAACAAACATATCTTCCCGTCTCGTCACGAGAGTGAGTTTTCAAAAAATGATCTTCACATTCCATTTCCTCTGGGGATAGCTTAGAACAAGCAGGTGGTTCTTCCAATGCCCAAAATCGCTGAAGTGTTTCATGAAGTGTAAGATCATTGATGGAAAGTAAAGTCGTCAATCCACTGAAGGTTTGGCCGTCTTGTGAAGTAGGCACGTTCCCAAGGACAACATATCCAAAAATAGTGTTTATAGTGTATGGCATACGATCACCAAGACTGGTGGCAGATCCAATAATAGTTTGAGCAAACAGATCCGCACCGATGAGCAAATGTCCAGGAGTGTCGAAGTTGGGATCGGCAAGTGCGTATTCTTTGATTTGAGCCTTTATTTCAGAAGATATCTTGACACTAGGCATATCATTGGTAATTCTATCAAGTATGAGGACAGGATGTGCCGTAGCAAGTGTTTTCCCGTTAAGCGAAGAAATATTTACAAAGGAAAGTCCCTTAGGCTTTATTCGAGCTGAGGCAATGCCCTTTATCTCGTGAACGCCAACAGACGAACGCTGAATGTGAATCATACTGGCACAGTGTTCAGATATTATACTCGTTTGTGATGCACTATCAAGCACAGCTCGGACAATAATATTATGACCATTCGAGGTAGAAATTTTTACCAATGCAGTGGCAAGAAGTACAGTACAGTTGTGGCTGGCAGCACCAGTGTCTACATGAGCAGAGAGTGTATTTGATTCAAATCCTTGCGGTACAGGAGCCTTCAATTGTGTTGTGGAATTGGCCTGAGTCTTATTCGAGGGCTTAACAGATTTTTTCATTATAGGCTGGTCCGTTTTGTAAAAATGCAGTAGCGTATGGTGTCGCTTAAAACAAACTCGACACGAACTGGATGACTTACATGAGCCTAAGAAATGTCGTCCTAAACAATTAACACATAGGCTATTGTTCTTAATGAAGTTGAACCTATCGTGTGGTGATAAGGCACCAAAAACATCACAGCGAAAAATGTTATGCGATGCTCCATTGCAGTAAGCACAAGTATGAGCTTGTTCATTGTCATTAGAAGAAAGCATTACAACTTTGCTTGGCTTGGGACTAGCGGTTTGCCTACCTAGATAAGGCATGTTCTTACTACTTCCATAGTTTTTTAACTGAAGGGAAGAATTAGCATGTGAGGTCGAGCCTAAGTTAGCCGCCTCTCTGTAAGAACACTCATTTTCCAGAAAGTTTATTATTTCTGTGACAGAAGGAACCTGTTTTGAGTCATCTCGTTTTTGTTCAAAATCTGAACGCATAGCGGAATCAAGCTTTCTCAAAATATGTGTACTTAAGATCAGGTTGTCATCAGTTATGTTATGGCCAAGTGCTTTAAGAGCTTGCTGATTTCCATTAAAAATTGAAATAAAATTCCTAAGTTGTGTAACATTAGGCTTAGTAAGCTGCGGTAGGTCCAAGATGTTAGTAGAATGTAATGAAATCAAGAGCCTTGTATTGTGGTACCTCTTAAGCAGGGTTTGCCAAGCAATTACATAATTAGCACTATTTAGTGGTATAGACTTAACTAAGTTCAAAGGTTCATCTGAAAGACAGCTTATGAGATATGAGAATTTCTCAACATTAGAAATTGTTTTATTATTATGTACAGTACTTTCAAACAGGCCATGAAATGAGACCCATTGCTCAGGATTGCCAGAGAATGTTGGCAGTTTGATTTGCGGCAATTTCACAGTCAGATTAACTGTAGGAGTAGTAGGGCCTACCTCGGAAGTAGAGTCATTTAGGCGTGACTCTTCAAGTTTAACTGGTGGAAGTAACAAACTAAAGTTTGACTGAATCTCAACAAAATAATCAGAAATTTTTTCTTGCAGTGAAGTAATTTTATCATCTTGAATATCTTCAGGAGTGGGAGTAGTTTGAAAAAGTTTATTTACTATTCTCTCAAATTCTGAGTGCTTGGTTATTGCACTTTGAGACAAGAGTTTAAGTTTAGCAATCTGTTGCTCGCTTAAAGTAGTCACAACCTGAGTTTCTTTCAATGCATTGACTTGTTTATTTATTGACCCAAGCCTTGCTTGAATAAGTTCACTCTGTTTGGTGAAGGAAGAAAACCTCATGTTGAAAGAAAATTAAACATAGGAAATATTCAGCACAAAACAAATCTGCAGTAATGATAAGACAATAAAATATAATTTGACTTTCCTCAATTTAATCAAATTCTCAAATGCACAAGTTAGGCCTATAGTCTATGCTTAGGCTATGGGTAGCACAGGCAAAAGCAACACTGCATAGGTAGTACAACTTAATGGTGTGCTATCAAATACATAATAATAAGAGATGCTTTCTTAACAAAATAGGTTAACTATTTATACCAATAATCCAAACTATTTTGTGGCTTAAATAGTTTAAGAAATATTTCCAAGTATATGTGCAGTATAACTTACTTGTCGTAATCTATCATCAGCAAAATATTCACATAGGTATTTCTCATATTAATCCAGTGCACATTAAAACCATTGAAAATAATATCAGTTATATTATTTGTTTACTTATTAACTGCAATGATAATTATTTGAATCAGTCAATAAGTTCGAAATCAAAGTCAATCTTGAGTAGATTTGAGGTTATTCTGACTATCACTCAAATGTAGTAATGTAAACAAAAATCTGACAAGCTGACAGCTAAAGTGAACTGACAGGCTGACAAGCGATGCGGTAGTGAAGTCTTGATATTTGTAGCCGTAGACTCGACGTCGTAGATGGCTGTGGCAGTGACGTAGCGGTTAGCGGACAGGAAATTCCAGGAAGGAATATTGGAATAGTCTATTTGAAACAGGAACAGGAATGTCAATTTGGACTCACAATCGTACAGGAAAAGGAGCACAAATACAAAATGGCGGAATGAGCAAAATTATTCCACGCAATGAGAAACGAAATCGAAATGAAATACCATTCAGCTAGAATACGTAAAAAATGAAGTGATATTACAAGTATTCGTGGTAGGAATAAATAAAATTATGTTCTAACCAGAAACTGGTAAAATAATCCGGTTCGATGAGGCCCAAAAAATGTTTGGTATAATAAGAAAAATATGTACATAGAATGAAATTAATCAGTCTTAATTAGGCTAATTTTTAAAGTGCTAAACAATGTTGAATTGCTGTCACAGACCTTAGTGAAGCTGAAGAGATGTTTGGTTTGGGGTACCCCACCTGACTTGAAGCACTGGGCAATGGCGGCGTCGACGAGGACTGTCCATGTACACGTTGACCTACTTGCACTATTACAATTGTCCGTTAAATAAACAAAAAATAATTTCTTCTTGGGATAAAAACAAAACTATTGTCACTTCTATTAGCACTGTACAGACTGATTAATTTAAAGAAAAAAAGGTAAAAATTGCGGGATGTTGAAAAGATGATGCGGATATACGATAGTAAATATGGTGATAGTTCAGCGGCGGACGACAGTGGACTGCGTCGTTTGGAAAGATATCAGTGTTGAGGGCAAAGGCCGCATACCTTCGTTATCGCGAAGAGCGGCTGAATAGCGGAAAATTACTTGGGCTCGGTTTTGTTTGAAACGGAAGAATATAAATATGGACTGGATTTAAAAATCATGAAACCTAAAATATCCAACAATCATAGTGCGGAGCCTTTGGCGAATTTCCAACCGAGCTTTGAATTCCAATTGTATTCTTTTTTTAGCTATAAAAAGTATTAAAAACTCCTACCCAATATAAGTGCTATTTCTTTAACTACTATAGTAGTGCCGTTCAAAAGCTACATTAAATATATTTCAATATAATATATTTATTTGATCCCCTGATGCAGCTACAATCAGTTAGTTACTTACTGTACAAACATTAGCTAGGTTCCTGTTGTACTAAATGACTCTGTATTGTATGAATGATGTGTATATTGATCCCCTGATGCAGCTTAATACAATCAGTCAGTTACTTATATTGTACAGGCATTAGCTACGTTCCTGTTGTACTAAATGGCTCTGTATTGTAAGAACGAACTGTATATTGATCCCCTGATGCAGCTTAATACAATCA